GTTCATATGATACTCTGTGAACAACGAAGCATTTTTTCCCAAAATTTTACCATGTTTTTGTATTTGTTTGTTTTGTTTTCCATCTTTAAAGTCAAACCATAAGTTCTTGAGCATTTAATTTTGACTGACTCACAAGTACCGAAGGAGAGTGTCGAATAAGGTTTGGTTGACCCATAAAATTCCACAACATATTCAACTTTTTCTTCCCTATTTTGTTGTGTTCAGAGCAATAAGTCTCTAGTAAACATTAGCTGCTAACAAATTGTCAAAAGGTGCTTTAAAGAAGACGTGGCCTTTTTTCTTTTGTGTGTGACAATGGTAAATGGCATGAGATGAAATTAAGATTGTACATATTTATTTATGTTTATAAAAGATGGCTAAATTTTAATTTAGCTCATTGAGTTTATTTGGTGTCCAAAGTTTTAATTAAATTTTTAAGTTATATACTTCAACTTGTGTTTCTTATACTTCTTTTTGGTTTTTGCCATTAATACTAAAACTGCTTTCCTCTCTAACATTCATGTTACATTTTTTTTTTTTTATTAAAACAACGTTTAATGGCAAAAGCACTTTCCTCACCGGTGATTTACAATTTCTATTTCCAATTTYGTTGCTTACGATGAAATAACTTATGTAATATTTATTTCTTAGAATATTACCTCACAAATATGAGAGTGGATATTTGAATCTACAACCGCTCGAGGGATGTAAAGAACACTTTAACCATCAAACTATATTCATACATATATAGCAATTTAAGTATTTATTTTATATGTTTTATTAACGATATATCAAAATGATATTGTTTTGTGATCAAACCAAACCCAAAACTTTAAACAATTGTCATGTATCATTTCGTACATGATCTAAACAATTTATTTAAAAAAACATGCATGTTCTTTAAATTTAATAGATAAGCTTTCAAAAAGAGTTGAAGCAGCCTGTAGCCTAATTTAATATATATGTAAATATATTTTTAGAAAAATAAAAAGTTAGATAAATGCTAACATGTGAATTAGAAGTGTAACGTCTTAAGGATGATGATCTTGAGTTGACTTTACAGATCATGAAAAATACCAAAACGCCACCTGAAAGGTTTTTAACTCATTAAACTTGCTCTTTCGAGACATCATTGTTCGTACAGCATTAATCACAGCCGTCCACTTGGACCTCGAGTGGACCCCTCAAACCACGCGTAGTCGGAAATGGGACCATGTAGATGGCGCCACGTGTCCTCGTCAAATTTTTCATAGTGCCCAGTCAACTGTCGGAAGGGTCCACTGTTGGTTGTTTGGTTGAAGGAGCTGCGTTGTTTTTTTTTTCCCTTTTTTTTTCCATATATGTAAATGTGATTGTGATTTTTTTTAGTACAATGTAAATCAGTAAATGTGATTAATTTTTCATTAAAGTTATAAATTATTTTTATCCAATATTTTCTTATTTCTTCTTTTTGCTCCCACCTTGATAAATTATGTTTTTTCTTTTGTTATATTTTAATCTATTCAATATTATAGTAAAAAGAATATAGAAATTAAAACTGTTTCGATTAGATTCAAATTCACGACCTCTTGAACAGAGACAAGTGTCGATTATCTTTGAACTAAATTTATGTTGGTCACTAATGATATCCTTAATAATGATTTAGATAGAAAAATTCATAAGTTAGATTCAAATTTTCACATTTTAGATTAAAAATTAATAACAATCTACAATATGTCATCTATATTTCTACTTTAATTCATCAAAATGGATCTATGCTTCTTTTTTTAAGTACAAGGAAAAGAGATATAAACATACCATTGTAAAGGGAAAACAATAATGTTCGACCATTTAGCGATGAAAGTTGAGTTAATATTCAAACTCTTTTATAGGTAAAATTAAATTATTTCAAAAATACCATTTTCTTAACTTGCTTGTCTATTTATATCATATTTAATAAATATATGTATTGTACTATCAAATTAATATATAATATATTTACGACCATGTATCTAATTAAATAAAAATATTTTTCTAATCATTATGTCCTAACTTGGTAGATTATAAAAGATTATTTTTTGTGTTACGACTAGAAGTCTAAATTAGTCAAATAAAATTAAGAGTCCACTTAATAAAATTAAGTTTATTTACTATTTCCCAATAACCTACTCTAGAAAAATGGTTTTGTAATCATAAATAAACTTTGATATTTAAAGAATGTAGTTTTCAAGTTCTTTAAATAAGATTTTAAAAGCGTTTTAGAAAAATTAAAAATTAAAACAAATGTAAATATAATTTATTATCACAGCATGAATTATGGATTCACTTCCTGGCTAGTAGTTGTTTCTCCTCCCTTAAAGAAAATCCTAATTCTATTTCTCTAATCTTTTACAAATCAAATAATTAATCAAAATAATAATGAGATTCAAACTATAACTTCGGTTTCTAAAGGTTCAGTTGTGTTTAATAAACTCTTAAATTTTAAGAAAATTGTCTAATAAATTGATAAACTTAAAGGTATTGGATAGACCTCTAAGTTTTCAAGTTTTTCGGACTTATTAGACATTTTTTAAAATCTAAGAAAAATTATTGAAAGTTTACAACTTTATCGATATCTTTTTAAAGTTTATAGACCTATTATGACATAATTCTAAAAGTTTAGGACCAAACTTGTAATTTAACCTAATATAATAATATTAATGTCACTCGGGAAAGCAGGGTGAGAATCAGCCAATTTTATGCCATAGTAAAAGAAACATATCCATAGTTAATTTGTTACCGCAACATTCAAATGAACTTAACTTGAAATGGGAATTTCGCTTAATGGATTGAATTTTGTATGAAAATTCCACCAACAATTAAACTCCAGCAATATATAAATTTACTTTTTACTAATCTCAACCCCATACTTTTCTCAACTTTAAACTCTACAAATTTTAGACATATTATTTTTTTTAGTACAAATTTTTTAGACTTAATATCATTTAACATTTTGTTCTCTAGTTATAACATATGGATTTAATCCTATTTTAGTCTCTTAATTTTAAATCTTATTCTTATTTAGTTCCAAAACTTCCAAACACTCTACTTTAGACCTTCAAAGGTTGGAACTTAATATTCTAGTGTGCCCTTAAAACTTTACTTCAAAAACTATTGTCTTGTGTTAATTAATAATTTAATACAAATCTTGACCTATTTTATATTATGAACAAACAGATCAACCTTAATTAATAGCCTTTTTATTATTCTTGGTTTTTTTATTTGGAAAAATAAAATTAAAGAAACTGGAAAAAAAAAATCCACTTTTTGTATCCAAAACAAAAACAACTTTAGGGACAGCAAAAAAACATTTTAAAAACATTCACTAAATAATATATACTGTTCAATATGCACCGACAATCACAAACTTGCGTATTAATTTCACCTACTTGGAAATAGGGATATATTCAATTATTCATTTTGGCCGGTTTTATTTAATAATTCTATTTCAAAATATATATATATAACTATTTAATTCGTTTTTCTTCTTTTTATTTAATCTTATAATCTAAACCGCATATCAGAACTATTATTTTATCAAATGTATAACAAGTATATAAAAAAAAAAAAGAAATCTAACATTAAAAAATTAATATTTAATTTAAAAAAAAACAATAAATATTACCAAACATATTCCTGTTTCTTTTTCAATATACATAAAAAAAGAAAAAAACAAGAAGCATAAAACAATTACCAAAAATATAAAAATATTGCATTTAGTAACTGTTTTATATTTCTTGTTATTTATTAAAAAAAAATAGAAACATAGTTGGAGGAACTTCCAAATGGACGACATCAGTAACTCCTATCATGTCCAACAAATAAATATATATATTTATATTTTTTAATTATTATTATTATTATTAATTTTGTTGAATCCATCCAACAGATAGTTACCATATTCTCCTTCCAAACAATAAGTATATTTATATATCTGTAACATATTACTATTTGATATCGAAAAAAAAAAACTAATTTATTATTGAATCTAAATCCATAACTTTTGTGTTGGAACTTAATTCTAAGTTCTCATACAGCCTATTTCTTTCTTGTATTAGGTGAGATTGAATACGTGGTAGCTAGTGGACTTTTGCTTTTCCTTTTCACCTTTAAAAATACTTTTGAAATTAAATTAAAGAGAAGAAATAAGCCAGAGAGGATAGAAAAATAAGAAATCTCAAAAGATGTCTTATTCACTGTTAGATTGGCGGCATTTATATTACTTGTTAATTAATTCTAGTCAATTAGTATAAGTTTGAATTTCTCAAGTACAAATTTAAATTAAATTAAATTAACTAATTACTATTGTTAGGTCAGGCATAAAAAAATGTCCACATTAATTTCTTTGTTACTAATTTAGTCAAAGGAAAATACCATTTTATATTGTATAAATAAATAAATATATAATGGTCAACTCTTTGTGTAAAATCTTATAGCGCGTTGAAGTTATTTATTGCTATAAGGTAATATTTCATCCGATTCTTTTTACAAAAGCATAATATTAGTAAATAAATAAATACGACATAATATTTTTTACTTTTTCTTGTTTCTAAAACTTATTTTTAACCTATAGCTTTATTTACTTATTATATTTTTTTTTATTTTAAAAAGAACAAATAAGATAAGATCGAAGAATTATATGAAATCAGGAAAAAAACAAACAAACAAACCCGATTCACATAAAAATAATAATAAGAACAAAAAAGAAATAAAAAATTGTCAAAAGCGTACACACAGTCCAACATGTAATACTCATGCAATTTTTTTAGTACTGGTTACGTGCAATCCAAATGTGAATATAATATTGAAAAAAGTCAAATATTTCCCACATTCRTACCCGACCCGACCCGTATTCCCCCTCTCGTCTCCTATATAAACCCTAGCCTACAACCAGCTTTTCAAATCAATCGTATCCAAAAAAAAAAAAGGAAAAAGAAAAAGAAAATCAAAGTGTTGTTTTYTGAATTTGTTGAGAATTAGAAATGGAGTGGATTGGTGTGATTGTGTGGGGGATAATTAGGGTTTCGTTGGTGGTTTTGTTGGTGAGAGTTGTATTTTCATGGTGGATTTTGCCGGTTTTGGCTCACAGAAAGCTCAAGCGAAACGGCTTTAATGGAGGCCCTCCTCCAAGATTCCCTCTCGGAAATATTACTGAGATCAAGAACACGATGAAGAAAGCTGCTGCTTCTGCAGCCGCCGCCGCCATTAATGGCGGTGCAGGCGCTTTTAGTTCATCATCAAATATCTCCCACGATATTCATTCCACTGTTTTCCCTTACTTCGCTCAATGGCAGACCTCTTATGGTAATCAAACTATACCCTCTTTATCTCTTATATATTTTCAAATACCATTTTTAACAAAATATATATATAGAAAATCTTTGCAGTGTTGTTTCCTTCTTATTTGTTATCATACTTGTTGGGGTTCGTGTAATTATCCAAATCTACAAGTGAGGAGAGTGTTAGATATATATCTATAAATTTGTTCGATCCATCCACTTAAATTTTTGAATTGAATGGTGGTTTATTCATCCTTAATAAACTTCAACTGAAAAAATGTAATTAAATTACAATAAACTAAAAGAGTTAGGATAAATTTAATTCGTTTACACATGTTTCGATTTGTTAAATGTTAAGTGCTTTCTTTTTATATATTTTTTTTCTGTATCTAATAATATTTTAAGACAAAGCTGCAGGTGATGATAATTGAATATTATTTTGAGAAAGATTAGGCATATCTAATTATTCTCATTACAATAATATTTCAATGGCTATTTGTCCATCGTCTAAGCATTTTCTTAAATCTTATAAACAAAAATATAATGAATTCTATAAATGGGACGTAAGCGGAGTTAGCTACTATTTTATTAGGTTAGAGATTCAAATTTTCATACTCATGTGCCGTATAATAAATTTAATGAGATAGAAAATTAATAATAACAAAACAAGCTTACTATTTTATCAATTTTCTTTTGTTTTTTTATTGAAAAGAAATAACTGCTATGTTAACAAACAAATGACATACCGCACATAGAAGAACAACTTTTAGGATCCAATAAATTAAAATCAGTATATCTATTCATAACATATCTAAAAATATAATTTTCATATTTATTTCTCAATATTTAAAACTATTTAGCGCCTCTAAGGAACCTATTAAACCATGGATGAGAAATGGATTTTAGCTTTGGTCTAAGGAGACTAAGATTAATTAAGAAGGAATGGGTTCAAACCCCGTGGTGTTCACCCCTTCAAGAATTAATAATTACTATATGTTTTTCGAGACCAAATGTGTCCTAATAGGGATAGAGTCAGGAGAATAAGATGTGAACTGAGAAGAAAGGAAAAGAATAAGTGTTGGAAGTATATTTCTCCTCCATGACTGAAAATAGATGACAAGATTTCTCTTTCCATAAACATAAAGTCTTATTCATGACTAACACAGTTGACAAATATGTCTCCTCCGACAAAATATATAATGGTCACATCACTGTGCATATAAATATCTTCAGTTAAGGTCTCCATATGTTTGTTGTAACAAAAACTAATGTCAAATTCAACCACAAAAATCAAGATCTAAGTTATACGGAAACTTTTAAAGTTGAAGAACTAGGAGAAAATATGATAGATACATAAAATGGAGGTTTTATATATGTTTTGTGTTGCAGGGAAGAAGTTTGTGTATTGGTTGGGGACAGAGCCATTTTTGTACATAGCAGAGCCGCAGTTTGTGAAGAACATGTCTGAAGCAGTGATGGGAAAGGGCTGGGGGAAGCCGGCGGTCTTCAGAAACGACAGAGAGCCGATGTTCGGCGACGGCCTCGTCATGACTGAAGGCGACGACTGGATTCGCCATCGCCATATACTCACCCCCGCCTTCAACCCAGCTAACTTGAAGGTAATTCTCACTTAACTTTCATTTGTCGAACATGTTCGATTCAAGCCGAGCTTATATTTAGTACATGAGTTCACTTAACTTTACATACTAATTTTGTTGTTGTAGTTCACTGGCTAAGTATATGTTATACAAATTTGACTACCAATTTTTGTGTACACTAAAATCTTAAGTTAAACAACTCAAATTTGTTAAAATTGTGAGTCAAAATGGTTGTGAATTAATATTATTTATGAGGGTATGAAAATCTAACATGACATTGCAAAATGAGGAGGGTTTTTTTCTTATTATTATTATTATCATCGTGATTGATTATTATATTTTTGGCAAAGGAAAAATTTAATATGTTTATATATGTGAAATGAAAACTGAAAAGCAACCGTTGGTGGTGGAGATATGACATATCACTCTATATGTAATGACAAACAAATTATATTAGTAGTTTATGGTTTGGTTGATAAGATTGGTTTTATCTCTTTTCTTTTAGAATATCCTCTTAATTTTTAGAGGGAAAAAAAAAAAGAGAGAGAGAAAAACCCTAACCTTTTTGTGTACAGAAAGCATGGCCAAATCAATTTTTATTAATAATTTTTATTTTTCTTAATTCATATTGAAAGTCAAATACATGTTAAAAAAAAGCTATCATCAAAATTAATCATAAAGTAATATTAAAAAGAACCAGATTTAACTACCGGCCATCAAAATGCTTAATGAAGAATTTAATTATATATTGAGATTTAAAACGTGCTTCTTTATTGAATAAAAAATATATATTAAACTTGATTTAAGAGAGTCTTACCTCATTTACTTTCTCACGTAATTGTTTATCTATATAATTAAGTAAATAATGCTTTTACTTTATAAATTTTTTAATTAAGTCATTTCGTTAGTGAAAGTAATTTCGCTTTTTTATAATTAATCACAAAATAAAGGCCACTAAAATTTTAAAAACACAATCAATCAGAATTAACCACGCTTAATAATTAATCAATTAATTAATTTAGTTTTTGTTTGTGTTTTTTTTTTTTAATTTTCAGGCAATGACAAGGCTGATGGTGGGGTCCACCACTAAAATGCTGGACGAGTGGGCCCGCCGCTTGAGCTCCGGCGGCCCAGAGATGGACGTGGAGAGAGAAATAACGGCGACCGCCGGCGACATAATCGCGAAGGCGAGCTTCGGAATATGCGATCGGAGCGGCAGAGACGCGTTCAACAAGCTCAGAGATCTCCAATTCACTCTCTTCCGGAACAGCAGCTACGTCGGCGTCCCGTTCAGCAGCATTTTCCTGTACCCGACCCGAACCCTGACCGCGAAGAGACTCGGATCCGAAATCGACCGCCTCTTCTTGTCGATCATATCGGAGAGGAAGCAATCGCCGGACGCCTCCGCCTCCGATTTGCTCAGTAGGTTGATTGAGAGTCAGAGGAACGATAGCGCCCCCGCCGCCGGAAAGTCGTGGCTGACGACGAGAGAACTGGTGGACGAGTGCAAGACGTTCTTCTTCGGCGGCCACGAGACGACGGCGCTGGCGATTAGTTGGACGATGCTGCTGCTGGCGACGAGGCCTGAGTGGCAAACCATTTTACGAGAAGAGATCAAAGAAGTTATCGGAGATAGAGAGATCGATTTCGCCATGCTTTCTCGACTCAAAAAGGTTAGGGTTTCTCTTTATCTTTATTAATTGGATTATGAATTTGGTTAGATTATTGCAATTTTCATTAGTTAATATATATATATATATAATAATGAAAAAGGTTGAGAATTAGGGTCAGAAATCCATGCGATGGAGTTTCACGCGAGAGTTATATGGATCGATTATTGGGTGTGGTTGTACGGCATGATATGACTTTTTGGCCCATAAGATCATAAAATATTCTCCTTTTTTTTCAAAATCATTTTTAATTCTGTTGAAGTAATGATTCGGTCTTATATTTTAAATCGGTAAATATTTAGTTATTAAGCTCAACTCAATACATACTAATTCAATACATACTAATTTAATCTATGTAGTTTAAAGTTTGTAAAAATTTAGTTGTCGTAAAAAGTAAATTTATGAGATTAAATATGTTTATAAACTATAAAAACTAAAATTTTGATACTTAATTGTAATGAGATTTTTCATGATTCAGATTCAATTGTTACAAGTTTTAAATTATAGAGATTAAATTATTATCTATATAGATTAAATTGTTACATACTAAAATTTTTAACATTCTTTCTAGTTTCGGAAGAGATTGCATTGTGCTCCTACTCTTTTGGAAATTACATTTGGAAAACTTGCACAAATTTATAATTTTTTTTTTCTTTTAGCGTACCCAACAACACGTGTGAGTTCTTTAATTTTCAAATGGATTCAATGTTTGACCAATAAAAATTCATCTAATCTTCGTATCTTTCTAACTTAAACTTAAGCTGATTTGAACATAGTTTAAATTAAGACCACATACATATATATCTTCGAATCTCTATCTTCCTGGACATGTTGAACTCAGAAAAATATATGTGATTACACTTTTACATTGTGTTAATAACTATTTTAAACTTTGTTTAGTATTTTCCCTTCTCCCATTTGCATATGGATCGGCACAATCCCATGCATTAATCTCAAACCCTAAAATCCCAATTCTAGAACAATCAAATTCATTTATAAAGAAATTACCTAATGATCATGACAAGGTGTGTGTTGATAAAATGTGCAGATGGGATGGGTGTTCAATGAGGTACTTAGGCTATACCCATCAGCCCCAAACATACAAAGACAAGCCAAAGGAGACATTAAAGTAGGCGACACGACGATCCCGAAAGGAACCAACATATGGATCGACATCGTAGCGATGCATCACGACCCGAGCCTTTGGGGCGATGACGTGAACGAGTTCAAGCCCGAGAGGTTCGAGAAGGACAGCATTCATGGCGGGTGCAAGCACAAGATGGGATATTTGCCATTTGGGTTTGGAGGGAGAATGTGCATTGGTAGAAACTTGTCTTCCATGGAGTATAAGATTGTGCTAACCCTAATTATTTCTAGGTTTTCTCTCTCTATTTCTCCCTCTTATTCTCATTCTCCTGCTATTTTGCTCTCTTTAAGACCTGCCCATGGCCTCCCTCTCATTCTAAAACCCCTTCACCCTTAACCTTACCTTAACTTTGCCTACTCGTGTTTCTCTTTCAACGTCATCGTCTAAAGTCAAAAGTACTGTAATATCCGTTTCTCTTTTACCCTCGTCTAAAGTCGAACTTGTAATACCCATTTCTCTCCTTTAACGTCATCCAAAGTCAAAATTGTAATAGTTATATGATTATAGATATCCTAGGTGCATGTAATGGTAAAATTGTCCAATTATGATTTATATGATCAATAATAATATGTATAATAATAGTCCTGTAACATTGGCTTATTATATGACCTTAATTAGTGTGAATGCAGAACTATGATTAAAGTTTTTTAGATTTAATTATAAGGAGTTTTTCATGTATTTCATCGTAGTGTGTAATATAGATAAATCCTCGTATTCGTGACTTTTTTTTTTTTATAGTACAGTGGGAATGGGAATTCAAATTCTCAACCTTATAATTGGATACATGTGTCTAAACCCGCAGTATGCTCTAGTTGACTCGTGACTATTTTTTTTTAACGATAGAGAAATTTCGAAATTTCTTAATTTTGTTTCTGATCTTCATCATTATATTGTTTTGGCAAATGAAAAGAAAAGAAGTATTAACTATACAAAATGGTGCTATTAATTTTTTTTTAATACAGTTTCATCCTTAAATCTTTTGAAATCCTTAGTATTTCAAAAAATTTCCATTAAGGTCCTTGGCAGAAAATTTGTTAGAATCTGTTTGACCATTATTAATTTAATATATCTTCAATACATGAACATATGCCTATCAGCAATCAAACTACTTATTAACAAATTAAGGATTTTTTGAAATCCTTAGTAATACAACAATAATGTATTAAAGAGAGAACGGTTCACCTAATCTAATACATAGAAACTTAACCAATTAAGCGGCACATTGAATTCATAAAATTCCTAAAAGACGTAATTGGGAATGTTTTAATAAACTCATAAAAGTTGATTACATCAGAACTGGTGCATCTTCAAAAATGAAGAAATTTTAGAATACAGACAAATGGAATGACACATCACAATAAACATATTATAGATTGAATTTCCAAAAAAAAAATCCTTTTTATTTCAACTTTCTCTTTCTTAAAAAAATATTTTAATTTGTGCTGTTTATTCATCTGTGTATGTGTATTGCTAGCTTCTGTGTGTCTCCTCCTCCCCTGTGTGAAGAAGTTCCCATGGTCACCTATCTTCCCTTTCTTAATCTTTTCAAAAGAATGTTCTACAAATTGTCTGTCAGAACCTGCAATGTTTCATGTGGCTTAGAGGATTGGAAATTGATTTGAACCAAAAAAAAAAAAAGAAAAATCTGAATTCTGATGAGGAGATTAAATTAATTATTACCAGAGTTTATGGTATAATATTATGGCAAGAACTGTCACATGGATAAGCACAATCAATTTCCTTTATGTTCCTCCTCCTGCTGAAGTACCAATCTCCAACTGCCTCTGCTATGGTCTGCAAAATATAAACCAACATTTCTCAATTTTGCTGCAAAATTACCGATCTTACAAGAGACATGGCTCTCGAAGTCGTAGTAAATTCAGAAAGTATGTATGTAATGCTCGAGATTTCGTAGTTTTTCTCTAATTTGCTTCGAGAAAGAAACAAGTAGCGCGTACCTTGTTGTCTATTGTTGGGGAGTTCTCTGCAAACCATGTGTCTTGTGACTCACTTTGGCAATGGGCAAAACAAGAATTTATGAACATTCCTCCTCTGCTTGAATATTCGTAGAATAATCTTAGTGCAGAAAGCATACTCATCCTTAGACCTATGAATTTCAAAAATTCAAACTTCAACAAGATTAATCTAACAACAAATAATTTCGGGTCAATTAATTTGTCTTGATCGAGGGATGTCATTGAGAAATAGGAATCCGTGTTACCAAAAGATTTCCTGCGATTATTTCTAGTATCTACATGATTAAATTATATAAAATGAGTAGTCTTTTATTTATACCACCACGAGTTGGCATAAAGGTCCTTGGGTAGTGAAAAGGTTAAAAGAACTTGCAGATAATAATAGGTTCAAACCCACAGTAACGTACTTTATAGATCAAAATTCTACGAGTTTTCTTAGCAGTAGGATTAGGTGTCAATCCAAGCATAGCTTATAAGACACCTATTAGGCTATTACCACACCGAAGGTCATGAGTTGATCCGCACCCTCGCAATTGTTGAACTTATAAAAAAATATATAGTATAATTAGGTTGTTATTCCGTGAGATTAGTCGATGGGACGTGGGTTTTACCTTGCAATACATCAATCTGTTGTTCACTACAAGCTGCTGGATCGAGTTTGCAGTGGTTCCAGTGTCCGTGCAGATCAGAAGATGGCGGTACCAATCCGTGATGAAACTGTTTGATATAAAGGATTGAAGGGCTTCAAATTAGACATGATATTGGCAGTGACACATTACATTATCAGATAAAGAAGATGAAGTTTTTCTTTACTTGGTAAACATCGTATGCTGAATTCAGAATGAAAAATGGAGTTGTTATGTACTTCAACGAGTACTGAGGGAAGATGCACTGCACAGTAAACATATGAAGTGAGAACTGGGAAGAATTTTAGAACCACATTTAGTACTGTAAAATAAAGTGAGATGTGAAATCCTGGCAAAATAAAGAAATACCAAATCTGGGTAGTAAGAGGAGGCTGTGCAGTTTTCATTCAGATTTGGCTCCATCCCCTGTAATCCACACCTTGCACCACATTAATATATGTTCAGAACACAATCATACAAGACTTTTATGATATTTATTTATATTCTCACACCCGCTCTCACTCGTGGGTGTATTAGAATAAAATGATATGATAGAAGTTCGATCTCCTACTTTGATACTATGTTAAGTTGATAGGTTACAGTATGTTTAATCGTATTCTTTAGCAACTGTTGCCCTGATTTACTCCCATCGTTTTACATATTCAACCAAAGAAAAGTTTACTGAGCAAATGCAACATGAATTAAGAGGATTGAATTGTGTTGATATTGATGGGAAAACTAATGTACCTGCAGAGCCGCAAGATCCTTGTAGAAGTTCCTCATGGTGTGGTTTAAACCTATATCTCTTCTGTGAAAGTAGAAGAATTAATTAAACCTCATTAACAAACAACCCATTTGCTTAAAAATGAAGTTTAGCTCACAAGTCAAGGAAAAATCCAGCATCACTCAAGCACTTGACAGTGGCGTTTGTTGGCAAATACTTGGTGAAGTTTTCACAGTGCAGAAAGGCTGCTAGACCTCCAGCAGAGCAACCAGAAAGCAAAGCCTGCAGAACATCACAAAACAGCTTCATTTTTCTGTAAATATTTCATTAGTTGCATGTTCAAAACTTGGCTCTGGGAAGAGGAAATTGATGTTTCATTATTTATACCTTCTGTGCTGTGGCCAATCCTTTGGGGAGAAGATCAAGAATGATGGATTCCCATATTTTTTGGCCTTTGAAATAAAGCAGTGAGGTCTGCATTTGTTGGAAGCAGCTTATTAGATGTGGCTTAATTGGAAAAAAAAAAATCTCAAAACTCAGCTTTAGAATAATGTGAGAAATTAAAGGAGAGAAAATTACCCCATTGTCAAACAACGCATCTCCTGCAAACGAGGCTCCATCACAGTACCTGAGTTTCACACGGTTCCAGTTGTAAAAATCTGCTCCAAAGAGATCACCAAATTCAATGTCTATGAGTAGTACAAGATTATAAAACATCACAGAATTTACTGTCAAATTAACAACGATTGTGAATTATCTATTTTCAACTAACAAAATTTGAACTCTAAGTTTGCAATTTATTGCTTTTAATTACTCAATGCTGGACCAATCTACCATGATCAAAGAAGTTCCAACCGTGACTTTTCCTACAGAAATGGAACTGTTTCTATAGAGTCATAGACCTACTAACTTTAATTTGGATCTCCTGCGGATGATGTCTAGTTTTTGTTAAAATTTAGGTTTAAATCTTATTTTCAGATTTTTTTCTATTTTGATCTATAAACTTATTTATGTTGAGCCTTGAACTTTTAATAAATAAGTGTTTTGCTTCTTGAACTTTCAAAAAGTACTGCTCTAGCCCTCGCTCTTATTTTAGCACATAAGACTCGCCTTTAACTATCTCGCATGGCTCAAATATATGTATGTCTTACATGTATTTGAAGGTCTATATGTTAATTGAGAGCAAACTAAAGACAAAAATTAAAATAATTTTTTTTTAAGTTTAAAAATTAAGATAGATATTTTTTAAGTTAAAAGACCAAAATAGAATATAAGGAAAAATGAATAATTTAAAAGTTTAGATGCCAGAGTGAAACAAAATTAAAAGTTAAAATACTAGTTTGATCCTTGTACTCTCAATTTTTGTTCATTTTATTTCCTGTACATTCAAAATGTTCATTTTGGTCCATGTATTTTCAATTTTGGTTCATTATAGTCCTTATACTTTCAGAATGTTCATTTTGGTTCCCTTATTCTTAAAAAGTTACCATTTGGTCGCTTAGTTTTATTCTTAATCTCTTTTTTTTCTATTACAATTTTAACACTCTACTAAAATCGATAGATCTCTTAAAATGACAATACTTTATACTAATATGTGTAACATTTGTGTTAAAATTTTACAAACAGGAATTAAAATGATCATTTTTTAAAAGTACAGATACCAAAATGAACATTTTCAAAGTACACGGACTAAAATGAACCAAAGTTATCAAAATAAACATTTTCAAAATACACGGACTAAAATGAACCAAAATTTAAAGTACAATAACCAAAATGAACATTTTCAAAATACGGAGACTAAAATTAACCATGACTAAAGGTACAAAGACAAAAATAGTATTTTAATCAAAATTAAATTATAAATTTAATTCTTAGATTTGTGTTGGATAAGTCAATCAACTTAAAAGTATCTAATATATTCTTGAGCTTGTAATTATTAAATTTTGAATTTTATATCAATAGTTGTTTACTTATATGAACAAGGACAGATGTGGCATTTGCGAGTTTGAGACAGACAACGATGGCAGACTAGAATTTCAAAGCTGTCGTGCAATATCTAAATCTAATATTAACCTCAGCTTTCGCCGCTACAACTTTTTACTTGTTGGTTTTGGTCATCATATTCATACAGTGCCGTAGCTGTCAGCTTTGCCACAAGCAACTTAGTCTCGTGAAGCCTACAGACAAGACACACACACCACCCAATTCCTAATTTACTACAACCTGGGCCATGTTCTCCTTATGTTCGGTTTTTCACCTTTTTACCTTTTTCTCCCCCAAGTTTCCATATCTACCCCTTGCTTTTTTTATTTTTCCGAGGGAGATGGTCCAACCTGGTCGTCTAACTAACTAGTCAATCATATTTCTTTTATAAAATAATGTATTAATTTTTCTTAATGCCATGTTCAAATCCATTATTATTTGGGTTGAAAACACACCCGAATCTTAGGGCGTGCCAAAAATGTAGGGACTAAATTTGCAATTCAAACGAGAGAATGACATTAACTCAAGTAAGATGAATTAATGAGAGAAGATATGTACCTGGATTAAGAGAGGCATTATTGCTAAGAATGCCAGAGAAGTCTTCCCATTTGGTCATGAGACGAGTCGATCCTCTCCGGGTACTCGCTCTTTCCAAACACGATTTTACATCGTTGCACCACCCTCCGCCCTATCATTCACAAAGTTTGACCATACTATATCACCAACCAGCTGTGGTCTGGTTCATAAATAATTGAAAAACTTTAATAATCTTAAATTATAGCTGACAGTCTAGATTACTTAAAATACATACATTGAAGAAAAAGTGCATTATTAATCTCTGAACATGTATAATTATGGGGACCCACCAAGGGCAAATAAACCAAAAGCAGTGAAATAATTAATTTCCCCATTCATGCTCATGCAGTCGTTGAATATTGGTATGTTAGCTTTGAGGGTCACTTTCTTTCTTCAATTCAAAGTTTCGTGCACACTACTCAATTCTCTCCGCTCGGGACCATGCATCAAATAACTCAACCCATTCATTCCAGAGCCTCAAATAATTCACTCATTTATTTGCTACCAATATTATCTTTTGGTTAAATTAATAATATGTCTATATTGAATTAATCCAACTTAAGTATTTACTGATAAATAGACATCTTAACCATGAAGGAATAAAAAGAAAAGAGAAAAAAAATAAAATAAAAGGCTGTCAATTTTTTTATGGTAATAATTAAATACGAAGATAGCTATTATTTATTCATAAGCAACTAAATTTTATAAATCATTTTGCCTTTTTGTGAAACACTTTAGTAAGCTTGTTTATATTAATTGCATGTAAATATATGGGGATGCATATATGTAGTAGCATAAATTCTTTTTTGCCTTTCATTTCGGAGCCCTTTATCTAAGTGACATAAAATATGCATGTACTTTTATGAGTAGAAAGTTTGAAATTTTTAAAAATAGTCTAATTCAAATAAAATTCAAATTCAAATATGTTAAAAAAGGGTCAAATTTATGCCATATTCTAAAAAGAAATGAAAACTTATGACATTTTTAGTTATGCGTGTGAGAAAAAAAATAATTTAAATGAAGTATAATTTTTGTAATAACMGTTTAATAACTATGGAAATTTACAACTTAAAAAGTAAATTCAATGGCTGTCATGTAACATGCTGAGAATCTAAAAGTTTTCAAAATATGAATGCATTAATCACTTGCTTAAAATATTAAAAATCAATTTGTCGCTAAATTTGGAAACATAATTAAAACAATTTTAACGTATATAATATATATTGACTACGGAATCCTTATGGTTTGCGCCAACSAAGCATTGGAAATAAATAAATAAATAAATATGCGATGCGAAATTGCGAACACCGACCGACAACAGTCCCAACCCACGGCATGCAAAAGGATCGAGAAAACGGCGTCGTATTGCCCGTGCTGTTTTTACTCCCGGTGAAAACGGCAATCCGACTTAACTTCCCCGGTGGGGTTAATAATTACGCCAGCTAGGAATGAGACGTGTCGTGCGCTCATTGGAGGAAATAGCATTTAATTCCATTTCCCCAAATATGGAAAGAAATAAATAAAGAGAAGGGAAATTATTCACCTCGAACTGTAGAAGCCAGTTTCCCGTTCCGGCGCCGAATCCTCTGTGCAGGTGATACGCCGGCAAGCTTCCGTCCAAACAAACTGATCCAAATACACAAACACAATTCCATCAAATTTTAATAAAATAAAACGACTTAACGAAACGAGTGTGGAGTGGAGTCTTTCACTTACGGGCTCCGATGGAAGAGGCGTTGCGGACCAGCGTCATCTCGACCAGGAGGCGCGCCTCGGCGCCTCGCGGCCACCGCAGCGCTGAAGCAAGAAGAAGCAGAGCTACGAAAGAAGCTTCGACGGCGGCCGGCTTCATCTTCGGGCGTCGCCGGTGAGCGGCGTCGCATTCGAAAGCGGTCGGCGGAGATTGCGTTTTGGGAGCGCGTTTGGATTTTATATAAAGAGGAGAAGAACTGAAGAAGAAGGAATGATTTCTTTGTTAGGCGAACAAACGAAGTGGTTCAGTGTGATTCAGTGGCTTGGCTGTCTTTATTACGTGGTGGTGGGTTCATAATTTGACATTCGGTGAACAAATATTTACGCCATTTGCCATTGCGGGAAAATAGAGCAAGTTTTTTTTTTTTAATGAATTCGTGATGCCGCCAAGATCGAATAATTAAAGTAAATATCAAATTGTTTATAAATGCAAATTACCGTTTTCCATTTTGTCTGTCCTGTGAAAATTAAGGTTACGTTCATCCTATTTCTTGATTTATTGAGTGAATATATGTTTGGCAATATTTACAGATTTATTTTTAAAACTATTTTTAGGTTGTGATCCCAATTCCAATAGTATGAATTTTGAAAATAATATTTCTAAGTTAATTTTTTAATTTAAAACTTCAATTACATTTTATATATATATATATATATATATATATATAAACTTTGATAGATATACATGTAATAAACTCATCTCATTTTTGTTAAAATGAAAACATGTAAATGTAGTGTAATAAACTCACAACTTCTTGATTGGATAAACTATTTTTTTAATTATTGATTTTAGTACAGTCTGTTTAATTTTTTTTAATACAACGTGTAGGGGTGGGGGATCGAACTCACAACCTATTAGTTTGAGATATATGTCAATTACCGCTAAATCATGCTCGCTTTGACGATTTTAGTATAAACTGTTAAACTTTAATTTGGTTTATGTTTTCATCAAATTCCATCCAAATGTATTGAATTAAACTCTCTAATCAACCATAAATGAAATCTACTCCTTATGAGGTTGTATGTTTAAATTCTCACGCCCTAATTATTTTTTTAGTACAACAACATAGGGAGATGGAGGATTTACACCCACGACAATATATTATTTTTTAGGCAAAATATTAAAACAGAAGTAGTTGTCCCGCATAAAAAATGTACAAAGATGAGGTGTGTTATAAGTACTATAAAAGGCCCATAGTTGTGGGATTATATTTATTTTCTCAACCTACAATATTCACTCTAATGTTGTGTGTAATTAGAGTTGGRGAGAGAATTTTGTGTGRCTGTAATAATTTATCACATAGTAAATATTTATTGTGAGTTGTGATTTTTCTTCGATTTGAATTTTTTCACATAAATTATTGTATTTTATTTTTTTGTTTATTTTATGCTTGTTTATGTGCTGATATATACTTTATTGTTAAAGATGTATAAAYCTATCACTAAATTGATTAATTTGGTATATTTAATTCATATCTAACACTTAACCAGCTGAGATATAAAATCTCAATTTGTTGTATTAAAAATCAAGATTATACTCTTCAACAAATTTGGTTCAAAATGATTATTGGCACAAATTAAATGCCCACTCGAATTATTTAATCGCGCGCTGCGGTCTTAGTGACGTTGTTTGAGTTTCGTGGTAATTTTGTAATTTGACTTTTTTTTTTTCTTTTAACAGATATTCGTATCAAATAAAATTAGCTTGTAATAGTTTTTTAAATGAATTTGTTAAAATAATCTAAATATAATTTTATAAGAGAGAGAGACTCAACTAAAAAGTTGAATAATTTTTGTCCAGCTGGAAAATAATGAAATGAAAAGTGACAAACAGTTGAGTTGACTTCCTTGTAGCTCATTCATGCATGTGTTATTTATAAATTATATCATTATGTTTACATGTGAAGTAAAACATTTAAAAGCCTGAGATCCAACATAGATAATTATAAAAATATAATATCAAATTGAACAGCCGTCCATAAACAATTATAAATTATGTATAAAAAACAACTAATAGGTCAAATTGTCATTTTAGCCCATATGTTATAAGCGTAATTTTGATTATATATGCGTGGATTAAATATCCAATAATTTTTTGGAAGAGTCCAAGACGGCTCTATTGTTAATTATGTTCACATTTTTTTTGCTGACATGTTTTTTCATAAATACAGTATACAAAAACTTAGCAATAAATCAAACATTTAGTTTGAGTGATGCGTGAATAATAAAGAGTTTGATTGTATTGGATCATAATTTTGTAAAAGAATATAAAATAAAGTTATTTTTTTATTATTATAGTTTAAATAAAGTGATAAACAAGTAAAGATAACCAGGCAAGGGAAATGAAGTAGGTTTTATGGATTTAATTTTAGAAGAAATAAAGTGATTTGTGTTATGACTTTTAACCTGAACATGAATAAATGATCTATTTGCACGTTTATTAAATGTTAGATACTTATATAGTAAAAGTGATTATAACTTAATGGTAATCAAAATTTTAAATATCGCTGTGATGGAAATACTGAGGTCTCAATTTCATAGAAATATCAATAAAATATCGATGTCGATTGATATTTATGTAAAAAATATAAATATCAAAAAAATCATTAAAAAAATATTTAAATTAACAAATAAACATTTTACTATTTCTAAACTAGTTAAAAAAATTAATATTAATATTATGTATATATTAGTACATTTTATTGATTTTTTTTTTCATATTTTGTTTGTACTATAATAGAAATGTCGATTCATCCCTCATGTTGATGTCGAACCCATAGAAATACATGTATGTCGATGGAAATGTTGACATGTCGACGGATATTTAGAACCATGGTGGTAATTGACATACATCTTCAATCTAGAAATTGTAAGGTCGATTTCTCATATTTATGTATTGTACTAAAAAAATTAGATACTCATCTATTATTGATTGAGTATTCTAACACACGTACCTTGTATTAAAAGGATAGAAAAAGAAGTTTGGAATCGTGGCATTTTACATTCTCAATTTTTAAAAAATCAAATTGCGAATACTTTTCTTTTTACAGTCCAAGAGGGGCTTCTCTGTAATTTAGCAAAATAAAAATTGTTTACCACTCAGCTGCCCACTTCGAGCAAAAGGATTTGTCTGATCAGAGTGGGGAGGAGGGAGGAGAGAGAGAGAGAGGGGGAGAGAGGGAGGGTCTCTTGAGTTCGAAGAACTTCGAAGTCCAAGGTTAGTCTTCCTCTGCAATATTCTGAATTTGAGGAACCCTAATTTTGCAATCATATTGTCTTTCAAGAATTTGATCGCTGATTTTCATGTTCTTACTACAATACGCGTAATATTTGATTGTTTATAGTGTTTTTAACCCTAGATATATGTTAATTTGTGGATAAATGTTGTCAATAGACTTATATATGAATTGAAGGATAATGGGAGTTGCATTTCCAGGTCTCGTCGACCTTTTGTCTGGCTACTGAGGAAGCCGAGGAATTGTTTCCAGAAATTACTATTTGAATCTTTACGACGGTTCGTAGTTGTCCTAACCGGTAAATTATTGGGTTAATTGACCTAATGTTGATCCAATATTTCTGTTCCAGTGATTTAGTTGTAAGTTGGATGGAAACTGACTGCGTTGATTGTCAGCTATTCATTTAAATGTGTTTTTATTCGTTGATGATTTTTCTATTGCCCATTTTGATTTTTCCCTTCTCCATTTTCAATTTTAGAAATCCCATAACATCCATATGTTGCATATTGGGACCTTAAAGAGTGTGACATGTTGAAAGCTTTAAATGGTTCTTCATATTTGAGTTAGTGCAAATTTATTGATTATTGTATTGAGCAATTAAAACTACTTTCTTATGGAAATTCTACAATCCACACTTTATCTACTCTCACCTATTGCTCACTCTTAACTGACCATTTCGACGAAGTATTAATCGTAAGGTCATAACCAATAACAACATGGGACAGTTTATAGTTTGAACATTTCTACGTATGCTCTAGAATCAATCAGATGGCTGTGAAGACAGGACTTTAGTTTCCTTTTCATTTTTGTTCAGAAGATCACTCTTTCAGTTTTGGTTGGTGTGTGTGTGTGTTTGTTTTTTTTTTTTCTTTTGTTAATGAATGGATGTTTTGGTCTTGCAGGTTGCATGAATTTCTCTGGTCAAGCTTACATCAGAGAAAGAATGCAACTTTGGTTGCCAAATTTACAATTTTAGGAGTATTGAAATAGACAAGGAAGTTGGATATTAATTAGTTCATTATGGAGCCCATGTGGAAACTTATATATTTGCTTGAGCCTGCACCCGTCACTCTCATTGTGACTGCAGTGGCTGTTACATTTGGATCTGCTTTCCGGGCCCTAAATTATGGGAAGGAAATGGAGCGAAATCGTGACTTTTCAGAAGCATCCATTACGCTGGACAGGTCCCAAGCGCTAATGATTCCAGTTATGAGTTCTTGCAGTTTGCTTTTGATGTTCTACCTGTTCTCTTCCGTGTCCCAACTTCTTACTGCATTCACAGCAGTTGCCTCTGTTTCATCCCTCTTCTTCTGTTTATCTCCTTACATGACCTATTTAAAGTCCCAGTTTGGATTGGCTGATCCTTATGTATCAAGGTGTTGTTCCAAGTCATTTACACGAATTCAAGGGTTATTGTTGTTGGCATGTTCTGGTCTAGTTGCAGCTTGGCTTGTTTCTGGGCATTGGATATTGAACAATTTGTTAGGAATTTCAATATGTGTTGCATTTGTCAGCCATGTACGTCTTCCTAATGTTAAAATATGTGCAATGCTCCTCGTTTGTCTCTTTGTATATGATATATTCTGGGTTTTCTTCTCTGAGAGATTCTTTGGGGCAAATGTAATGGTATCTGTTGCAACCCAGCAAGCGTCAAATCCTGTTCACACAGTTGCTAACAGTTTAAGTCTTCCTGGTCTGCAATTGATAACTAAGAAGCTGGAGTTACCTGTGAAGATAGTTTTTCCAAGGAACTTACTTGGAGGAGTCATTCCAGGAAAAAGTGCCACTGATTTCATGATGCTTGGTCTTGGTGATATGGTATGCACTATACAGTTATATTTTCCTCCCTTGCACTATCTTTTTTCATATAAATTCCTCCAATGACAGTTGGCAGTATTCTGTGTTTTTCAGTTTCGCATCTTTATTTGTTTGTTCATTATTCATTTAGAAGATTTAATGAAATGAGCAATCTGCCCATGAAAATACAATTACCATGTTTATCAAGGTTAGAGAACCATGCAGTTGGCAGTATTCTGTGTTTTTCAGTTTTGCATCTTTATTTGTTTGTTCATTATTCATTTAGAAGATTTAATGAAATGAGCAATCTGCCCATGAAAATACAATTACCATGTTTATCAAGGTTAGAGAACCATGCAGCTCAACATTATGTTCTATTATAAATGAACTATTTCTTTCTCAAGACTCTTAGACTCTTTAAACGTTCTTGCATGCATCTGGAAATTTTGGGAATCTATTGCTGTAAGATTTTCTTCCTCTAAAATAAAAACATAATCCTCCGGATGAATGAAATATCCCAAAGGTATGGTTTCATGATATAGAATCACATATTTGTTGTGTGGGTACGTTTGATTGGAATATTTTAGTTTTCTAAAAAATATGAGATTATAGAGGGGATGAAATCCCTCAATGCAAACCAGGGAAAATTACCCAAAAAAGAAAAAAAGAAAACTCTTCCAACTCGAACAAAAGTGTTTCTATTCTATCCTGATCAATTCCAGTCTTTTACTAAGGTGTTTGTGTAATATTTGTTGTTTCAAACTGTAGGCAATTCCTGCCATGTTTCTAGCTCTAGTTCTTTGTTTTGATCATCGGAAGAGTAGGGACACAGTCAATCTCTCAGATATCCACACAAGAGGACACAAGTACATTTGGTATGCCCTGCCTGGATATGCCATTGGGCTGGTGACTGCTCTAGCAGCTGGCGTTTTGACTCACTCACCTCAACCTGCTCTATTATATCTGGTAATGTCGTTTCATTTTTTCTAGGCCGTTCATGCATGCATATTTTTCTTATAAACAGCTTAGTTTACTGGTGAAAGAGTATGAACTAGTTACATAAGTATGCTCCTCCATTGAAGTATGAACTAGTTAGATAAGTGACACTTAAAAGTTTTAGAGAAAGAGAGAGTCCCTGCCTGCCCCATGGATCTTCTCATCCCGAGTTTTTGTTGTTACAAGTACTTCCTAAATCATAATATATTAAGACCCAACATTTCCTAGGTGGCTTTTCGATTTTATTTTTCAGAATGAGTGATATAGAGAGAGTATCTGGCTCTTTTTACATCCCGTGTTATTGTTGTTATAAATACTTGCTCAATCACTATACACGATGACGAGCATTTTTCCTAGGGTACCTCTTGAGGTGTTTGGAATGCGAGAGAGTCACTGGATTTTTTTTACATCATGAATTATTGTTGTTACAAATACTTCCTCAATCATGATCCTAGGTACCTTTTGGGTACTTTTTGGGGATTCAGTCCCTGGTACTAATCTGCTTCTTACTGTTTATTAATTTTGGTATCTGCAGGTGCCTTCTACATTAGGGCCTGTTATTGCCATCTCTTGGGTAAGGAAGGATCTTTTTGAGTTATGGGAAGGTCCTTTGCCGAGCCCCAACGATAAAGCACGCCAAGTAGAAACAGTTTGAGTTGCTCACCTCCTTTGTTCATGAAGGGAGTTGTAAAGTCATTTGCTGTATCAAATGCTATCCTTATTTGAAAACATTGGTCAGAAAATTTGTCATTTGTATGGAAAATTTGCTGCACGGCTTACCAAAAATTCTGTTTAAATGCCCAAGTCATTAGTGAGATGGGAAAAGGATGCTTCAACTCTGGTGTGGATAAAGGAAAAAAGATTATACCACTTTTCGTTCTTTGGATTCTTTCTTTTTGGGGTGGGGGAAACTTGAGGATTATCGTTTCATTGCACTTCAACTTCAATTGCCGCTTTCTAAATATAATCATGGGAAATTCGGTGATATAGGTATTTTTTAATTCATTATTAACTTTTGGCTTTAGTTTATCTTAATCTCTGATGTGTCATATGAATGTGTATATAATTGTATTATTATATTTGATTATATTGGATTGACATTTGGGCCGGTCCAAATGAAACTCGAATGAATTGGCCCATTAAAAAACAAAATTTCAAATCCAATCCAATTCGGAAGGACATGGTTGGATTGGACCAGTCAAATGTTGACTTCGAACTGAACTTGAATCAGACTTGGGTCGATCTTTGCACTTTTGACTCCATAGTGAGATTGAACCAGTGCTTTATTTCCATGGCAAAACTCAGCCCAAGTTTTCATCAAGAAACTAGAAACCCCCATCGCAAATGGAAATCAATCTTCATTTTTGACAAAAAAAAAAAACATTACCACATTTAGAAATTGTTGAAACCTTAATCTAAAAATCATGGTATAACTGCTGGAAACTACGTCTATTTATCGGAAAAAAAATTAGCTCTATAAGTGAAGGGA